TGCTGAACTACTGACCTGGGCATGGGGGTGGGAGTGCCAATCCAGACCCTTCTGCCCCTGCTCCATCAGAAGCCAGGGCCAGGGGCAGTCAGCAAGTGAGCGCCTCTGCCCTGCGACAGGCCCGGGATGTCAGCGGCCGTGTCTGTTTTCTTGCAGCCGCCCTTCCTCTCGGACACACTTCGGAACCACAAGCCCCAGAGCTTAATGACCCTCATCCCCCTCTCGCTGCTGGGCAGGGCAGGCCGGTACCTGGGGCAGCTGCCTGCAGCCAGGGTCCAGCTGCTGGCCAGTCAAGGCTACACTCCCAGCCTCCCGGGCCCTCTGCCAGGCGCGGGCCAGGCCCTGCCCTACCGCACGCTGGTCAGGCTGCAGCACTCCCCCCCGCCACAGAGGAGTGCGGGCTGGCTGGGGGGCCACGTGACGAGGACGGCAGCAGGGCCTGAGCCCCATGCACCCGCCAGCATGGCGAAGGCGGGCGGGCAGAGGTTCTTCAGCGCCAGAGACCAGGCACGAGGCCGTGAGTACAGCTCGGAGGCAGAGGTTGCGCTGATGCCCTCGGGGCGCTCCCCCAGCTCCTGGGGGGGACGTTGCTGGCTCAGTCATTGCGCAGGACACTGCAGGTCTCTCCCCCAGCCGGGTGGCAGGCGACCGTCTTCTGCCTCGCTGTTTGCAGGGCACCGCCCTCCCTCGCACAGCTGGCAGGACCCTCTGGCTTGCTGCCCTGCCTCCCGCCGTCCGCCTCGCTGCCAGAGGGGCGTCTGGCAGAAGGGAGCTGGGGGCTGGGTAGTTTTCCTTGCAGCTGATGGGATGCTGCCCCCAGGGCCGGGGCGGGCACTGGTGTGAGGGCGAGGACTGCCCGCTGCCTGCCACATCAGCCCTAACCCCCACGCTCTCGTTGCAGAGGGCCCCGTGGCCAGGCGGCCCCTGCTCGCTGGTGCTGGCTATCCCAGCTCCCTGAGCTGCCTGCCTCACGCCCGGCGAGCCCCGCGCCAGACATGCAGCGACTACACGTTCCCCTCGGTGACAGCGCCCCTCTACCATGAGGCCGCCCGGGACCTTGCCCTCACCTCCGCCTCCGCCCCCCTGGTGCAGCACACAGACGCCTCGCGCCGCTCCAACGCCACGGCTGTCCTCAGCCTGCCCCGCCGGTAATGCAGCTCAGGGCTGGGGCCCCGCAGAGCCAGGCTCCCGGAGCGGAGGTCTGCCCGAGCCAGGGGACAGCTTGGCCACTGTACTGGGGTTGGCCCGGCCTGGCCCGGCTGAGGCCACATGGGCGAGGGGGAAGGAGACCCACCGTCAAACCCAGGCCTGCTGACCACACCTGACTCCACCTGGGGGTGGTGCCCGCGGCTGGCGCGTGCCCCTCATCCGTGTCACTGGCACACCGTGCCCCTGCTCCTGCGCTGGCAGCAGGGAGCCACGGGCCTCGGTCTCCCCCGGCACTGATGGGGGGTCGTCTTCCCTGCTTGTGCCCTGTTGACCCGGGCCCCTCCTCCCTCCGCAGGAAGTGGACCTGAGCCTGCAGCCTGACGGGCCTGGGGCCGCAGCCGCCGGGCAGAGCTTGTGCGGGGCCAGGGGTGCT